CGGCCGCGGGTGGGAGCTCGGGCGCCAGCGCCGCAGACGACGTCCTTATCCTGCCGCCTGTCGAGGCGGTGGCCCTGGCCCACGGTTTCGCCGCGGCCGCGGAGGCGCGCGCCCGCAGGGCGGCGGCTCGCCTCTCCCGAGCGGCCGCAGCGGCGGCCTTGCGTGCATAGCGCAGGTGTGCGTGTGTGATGTTTTTGGCACGGGCATGTTGCTTTCGAAGAGAGCAACAATACCCTTACCGTGTTGATGATGATGTTGCTAATGATGGTGGTGATCGGCACCTGGTGCTGCTGTTCATGATGAGCATAGTACCACTCATGGCTCTGACTATGATGGTGCTGGTTGTGATGTCGATGCTGCTGAGCACTATGGTCATGATGGTGGTGAGGATGGGATGTCAATGTTGATGATGAGGACGGTGGTGATGTTGATGCTGATGATGATGGTGATGATGAGGATGCTGCTGATGGTAATGATGGCGATGTTGACGATGGTAGAGGCGATGGCAATGACGATTCCGATAACACTGGCGACGACGATGACAATGTCGATGGCGGCGGCGATGATGATGATACTGATGATGATACTGATAATGCTTATGATGATGATGGTGACGATGATGGTGATGATGATGATGCTGGGGAGCGGTGCTCGGCGCAGCCGTTATGACTTATCGTGCACACCCACGGAGCCTGCAGGCCCCGCCGAGGAGGGGAGGGAGGGGGAGGGGAACGATCTGTAGCGCTTAGCGGCTCGGGCCTCCCGCCTCCGAGCCGCGCCCTCGCGAGCGGTTGCGCGGGCGCCTAAGCGGTTCGGGGCGGCCGCCCCCGAGCACGGCGCTTCGTGGGGGCGTCCCTTCTGGGCTCTTGGAGCGTTTAAGGAGATCTTGGGGTCTTGGGTCCGTGTGTAAGAGTCCTTGGGGCGGTTTGAGGCTGCTTTGGCCTGTATTTGAGCACTGGTATGGTTGCCGAGGCCAGCCAGGAGCCTTTTGTGGCCGTTCTGGGTCATCTAGGAATATATGCGATAGGGAGTTGACGCCCGACAGTTTAGCATACTATGTTGTTTTGTGTTGTCCCCGACCATCCTGTGGTGGTCGGCCCTCGTTTCGAAGAGACAGCGCTCCGCGTCTCCCTCGCTCCTCCTCCCCTCCTGCCTCCACCGTCATCATCAGCAGCATCATCCGCATCATCATCATCATCATCATCATCATCATCATCATCATCATCATCATCATCATCGTCATCATCAGCATGATCATGATCGTCAGCATCAGCACCACCATAACATCAGCATCCTCATCATAATCGGAGTCACCACCATCATCAGCAGTATCATCATCATGGTCATCAGCATCTGCATCAGCATCATCATCAGCATCATCAGGCTCACCAGCGTCATACTCATCATCACCACCATCAGCATCACCATCATCATTGCCATCATCATCAGCAGCATCATCATCAGCAGCATCATCATCATCTGCATCATAATTATAACCATCATCAACAACACCATCATCATCATCGTCGTCATCATCATCATCATCATGACCATCATCGCCATCATGATCACCCGTCTCGTCGTCGTGATCGCTGTCTTCATCACCCATCACCAATTTCGGCACACCTCTCACACGCTTCGTGGCCCCATAGGGAGCTCCACCCAAAGCCCCAGTGGCACCGTCCAAACGTTGACAGGCCACCACGCTTTGTGGCCACATGGGGATCTCCACCCAAAGCCCCAGTGGCACCGTCCACATGCGTCAGCGCCACCCATGTCAGCACACCCCTCACACGTTTCGTGGCCCCATGGGGAGCTCCACCCAAGGCCGCACGGGCACCGTCAACATGCGTCCGCGCTACCAATTTCGGCACACCCTTTACATTTTTCGTGGCCCCAGATGGCGCTCCACCCAAAGCCCCAGTGGCACCGTCCACATGCGTCCGCACTACCCATTTCGGAACACCTTCACACGCTTCGTGGCCACATAGGGCGCTCCACCTAAGGCCCCAGTGGCACCGTCAACATGCGTCCGCGCCACCAATTTCGGGACACCCATCACATTTTTCGTGGCCCCAAAGGGCGCTCCACCCAAGACCCCACGGGCGCCGTCCACATGCGTCCGCGCCACCCATTTTGGCACACCCCTCAGACGCTTCGTGGCCTCATAGGGTGCTCCACCTAAGGCCCCAGTGGCACCGTCAACACGCGTCCGCGCCACCAACTTCTGCGCACGGCGCAACCTTCACACGCGTAGTTGCCCCATAGGGGGCCCAACCTAAGGTCCCAGTGGCGCAGTTCGCATGCGTCCCGGCCATTCATTTCGGCACACCCTCACACGTTTCTTGGCCCCACAGGGACCTCCACCTAAGGCCCCAGTGGCGCAGTTCGTATGCGTCCCGGCCATTCATGCCGCCACACCCTCACACATTTCGAGGCCTCATGGGGAGCTCCACCCAGGGTCTCAGTGGCGCAGTTCGCAAGCGTCCCAGCCATTCATGTCGGCACATCCTCACACGCATCGTGCCCACATAGGGAGCCCCACCAAAGGCCTCAGAGGCACCGTCCACATGCGTCCCCGCCACCAAGTTTCCGTACAGCCCCGCACACGTTCCGTTGTCCCATAGGGAGCTCCACCCAAGGCCCCACGGACATTGTCCACATGCGTGGCATGATTCGCATGCCGCCCTCCCGTGCACTTCGGCACACCCTCACACGTTTCGTTGCCCCATACAGAGCTCCACCCAAGGCCCCACGGGCACCGTCCACATGCGTCCGCGCCACATTTCGGAACTCCCTTCGCAAGTTTCATGGCCCCATAGGGAGATCCACCCAAGGCCCCAGTGGCACTGTCCACATGCGTCCGCGCCGCTCATTTCGGCAGACCCCTCACGTTTCGTGGCCCCCTGGTCTAGCTATTTTTTCCATCCGTCCTGTGGTGTTGGGTCCTTGTTTTGAGGAGATAACGCCCCGCGTTCTCCTCGCGCCTCCTTCCTCCCGCCTCCCCCCTTCTACCAGCCTTGCTTCTGCCTTCTGCACGGCGTTTCGTGGCCCAATGGGGAGCTCCACCGAAGGTCCCAGTGGGGCAGGGCAGTTCGCATGCTTCCTGGCAATTCGTTTCGGCACACCCCTCACACGTTTCATGGCCCCATAGGGAGCTCCACCAAAGGCGCCACTGGCGCAGTTCGCATGCGCCCATGCCGCCCATTTCGGCACACCCTCACGTGTTTCGTGGCCCCATTGGAAGCTCCACCGAAGGTGTCCCAGTAGCGCAGTTCGCATGCGCTCTGGCCATTCATGTCGGTACACCCTCACGTTTTTCGGTCCCATGGGGAGCTCCACCTAAGGCCCCAGTGGCGCAGTTCGCATGCGTCCCGGCCATTCATTTCGGCACACCCCTCACACGCTTCGTGGCCCTACAGGGAGGCGTCCCAGTAGCGCAATTCGCATCCGTCCTGGCCGCCCATTTCGCCACATCCTCACACGTTTCGTGGCCCCACAGGGAGCTCCACCTAAGGCCCGAGTGGCGCAGTTCGCACGCGTCCCTGCCATTCATGTCGCCACACCCTCACACGTTTCGAGGCCCCATGGGAGCTCCACCTGAGGTTTCATTGGCGCAGTTCGCATGCGTCCCGGCCATTCATGTCGGCACACCCATCACACGTTTCGTGGCCCCACTGGAAGCTCAACCGAAGGCGTCCCAGTAGCGCAGTTCGCAAGCGTCCCAGCCATTCATGTCGGCACACCCTCACACGTTTCGTGGCCTCATGGGGAGCTCCACCCAAGGTCCCAGTGGCGCAGTCCGCATGCGTCCCGGCCGCTCATGTCGGCACGCCCTCACACGTTTCGTGGCCTCATGGGGAGCTCCACCCAAGGTCCCAGTGGCGCAGTCCGCACGCGTCCCTGCAGCCCGTTTCGGCACACACCTCTCGGACGCTTCGTGGCCCCACAGGGAGATCCACCGAAGGCGCCGGTGGCTGCGCCCGCATAGCGGCTCTCCGCCCGATGTCGGCACACCGCGCACACGTTGTGTGGCCCCATCGAAGGGGCCTCTGCCGTTGGCCCCAGAGGTAGCGCCCGCCCTTAGTGGGCCCTGGAAACGACAGGGCCGTTTTTTTACTGGTTCCGTTTTGCCGTTTTTTTGCCGGTTCCGACGCCGTTTTTTTACCGGTTCCGTCGCCGTTTTGTGACCGGTTCCGGCTCCGGCTCCAATCCTGGAGCCGTTCTTTTGCCGTTTCCGGTCGCCGTTTTTTTGCCGCTTCCATTTTCAATGGACATTTTTTGGGAAACGGTAGAAGAACCGCCCTGCCGTTTCCGGGGCCCACAAAGCGCCCGCCCCATTTCGGCACACCCCTCTCACAAGTTTCGTGGCCCCATAAGGAGATCCCCCAATGGCGATACCCACAACGACGGTTCTCACAACTGCATCTGGTTGGGTCCTTCGCCGGGATAATTTTTGGCAGCCCTCCATCGAACAGATCACGGACACATGGAGCCAAGCTGAAGTCCTTCTAGGGAGCTTCACCGGAGGCCCCAGTGGCAGCACCCGCGTGCCGCCGTCATCCCACCTAGGCACACCCCTCACACGTTTCCTGCCCCCCATAAGCAGCTCCACCGAAGACGATATTCACAATTGCACCACTCACAACTGCATATGGCTGGGTCCTTCGCCAGGCTAATGTTTTTGATTTTGCGTGCTTGGAGTAATTCTGTGAGTTTGGGAGATTTCTGGGGGTCTCTAGGGGCATCCTGGGCTTACTATTGATGCTTTTTGGGCGTGCCAGGGTCTTCCGTAAGCCGTTTTGAAAGATGTATACTGAAGGCGTCAAGGGGTGGATGTGGAGGCTCTGAGAGCCCAGGCGGTGCGTTGAGCTTGTGCCTCCGCCGTTCCCTCAAAGAGGATTTTTGACTTCGGGGGAGGGCGACATGAGGGAGGGGGGCAATCAACCATCCTACACGCCTTTTCACCCCTGGCAAGCGGGGGCCGACGGTTTCGCAAGGGTTATCTGTATTCCGCTGAGATGTTTTTGAACGCTCATCCAGAAGTGGATCTCAAGCGGGCATGGACCGCGAAGGCTGCGGAAGGCGTGGCACACGAAATCATATGCGAACCCACGTCTGGGATTCCCAGCATGAAGCTAGTTGATGTGCCAGGGAAGGGTCTTGGGTTCGTGGCTCAGCGCAGTATCAAGCCAGGCGAGGTGGTACTTGTGGACACGGTTTTTGCAGTCGTGAACCACACCAACGACGACGACGAAAATTTGGATATGGCGGAAGAGATTATGCGCCGTTCGAAATTGACTGAGTCTCACCGCCAATGCTTCGAGCAGAAAGTTGACGTGCTGAGCTGCCCCAGCACGAGGCAGTCGCACTTTCAGACGCGGGCCATGAGCAGAGGGCTTCCCGATCACTTCGCCAGGTTGGCGAACATATCAGAAGCTAATGCGTTTTCACATCGGGGGGATCTGGCAGAGAAGCCAACGTCTCTTCAAATGAGACCGATGCCCACGTCTTTCGCGCTCTTGCCGGTGGGCGCTCGATTCAACCACAGCTGCCGTCCGAACGCTCTGATGCGCATGGGGAGCGATACGGCCGCGACGGTACCCGGATCGCAAAGCCGTGCCGTCTCTGGGGTGGCCTATTGGACAGCGGTACGCCCGATCCAGGCGGGCGAGGAGGTGACGGGGGGGTATGTTCCAGCCAGGGATCTTGGAGGCTTGCGCTACTCCGCTGGCCCCCAGAAGAGGGTATCAGTGACGATGCTCCTGGTTGCTTGGGTGCCCCCTGGAGGGCAACGAGCGACGAGCGACGAGCAAAAGCCGGAGGCGGGAGGAGGAGCAGGAGGAGGAGTAGGAGGAGCAGGAGTAGTAGTAGGAGGAGGAGGAGGAGGAGGAGAAGGAGGAGGAGGAGGAGGAGGAGGAGGAGGAGGAGGAGGAGGGGAGGCGGAGGCGGGAGGAGGCGGAGGAGGAGGAGGAGGGGCGGAGGAGGCGGAGAGGAGGAGGAGGAGGAGGGGGAGGAGGAGGAGGAGGAGGAGGAGGAGGAGGAGGGGGAGGCGGAGGGGGAGGCGGAGGGGGAGGAGGAAGGGGAGGAGGATGAGGAAGAGGAGGAGGAGGAGGTGGAGGAGGAGGGGGTGCAGGAGGAGGGAGGCTTGTCACACTCGGCAGCCGAGGGTCGGCGGATTCTCTGGCAGTCCGGACGGAGAAGCTGGCCGCTCGGGGCTTCGTTTGCTGCTGCCCGCGATGCGACGAGGAGAGGAGGCGACGGGGCCGCAACCTCCCCAGACCCCCTCGAGTTATGAAAAAATCACGACGGGAGGTTTTTCATTATTTTTGGCCTTTGGGGGCCCTTACCGGCCCTCGGGACCGTCAAAAAACGACTCAGGACGAACACCCGGTCCCGGGGAATGGGTCTGGACCTCTGGGGGTCGCGTCATCAAAAAATCATGACGTCGGGGCCGCAACCTCTAAAGACTTTGCCCCCCGTTCTTCTCACGCGGGGGGGATCTTCGAGGCATCTCCAAAACAGGAGGCCTTCTCTGTCGCTCGCTTTCCTGCGCCTCACCTGTGCTGCTCTCGGCTCTTCCTCTTTCTTCTCTGCCGCCTACTCCTTCTCCGTGCTCTTGCTGCAGCTGCCCACGCTTGCCGCTCGCTTGTGTTTGTCACCTGGCCGGCCGGGCCTTTACCCCACCTGCAGCGTTCGGTGGCAATTCATTCTCGATCGAGTCCCGTACTTACACTCGCGATGGTGCCGTCACTGTGCTGGAGGAGTAACGAGTGTGTCACTAAACAGGCTTGTCCCGTCCGTTTCCTTGATTTGTATGTAGTATTCACCACGACGCCCTGGGCTTGGGTTCCGTTGCGCTGCTGAGGGGGGGGCAGGAAACCACAACCGACATGAGCGTACACTTCTGGCATTCGGCGCGGAGTTCTTGGCTCGGCGCTGGGCCCCCTCACTGGCGGCGCCGCCTCTGTCGCGCTTCGCGCCAGAGGGGGGGTCCAGCGCGGACCCAAGGGACCCGCGCGGACACCCAACAGCTTATGCTTATGCTCTTGTTTGTTTTGATATGTTCCACCTCTTGCCCCTGCTCCTGCTCCTGCTCGAGATGGCGAGGAGGAGGATGGGAACACAGCGATGGGATGTTCAGTGTTTGCCTTGACTGTTCGTCAGGCCCCAATGCAAACAAGAGCTCTGGCAGGAGGGGAAGAGGAGGCAGAGGAGCAGGGAGTAGCACTTTCCTTCAATGCCCTCCAGGCTGGATCCCAACACAACAATATCCTGCAAGTGCGGTCAAACGCACTGGCAGTTTCAAGAGGACGGCGATATGCGACTGGCGCATTCTTCAATCGCATCCTCGGCAGCCCATGGCTCTTGCCAGGCTTGCAACTTTAAGTACGACCGTGCCGAGGTGCTGCAGCGGTACCAGAAGGCAGAAGCGATCGCTGCTCACATGAGCAGTGGTGCAGCAGCGAATGATGATCCCCGCCAGCTCTTGATGATTCTCCTGGATGCACAAGGCGCCACGCAGGGTATCTTCCATCCTGAAAATTATCTGGTGAACGTGATTATCGTAACTCACATCTCGTCCTGCCAAATGATGTGCGCAACCCGCGATTTGGGCTTGAGTCGAAAATCTAAGGTGCAGGCAATGCAGGATTTCATTGCTTCTCGGCTACTCTTGATCAAATGGTACGAACGTGTCTGCGGGATCCAAGACGAACCAGATAGTGTCCCTTGCATGTACGAATACGCCGAGATGTACTACCGGCTCGTGGGGGTGATCCAGAAGTATCCCGATCTTTCTGGACTATCAAAAGCAGAGATTAAGCAGTACCGGACGAAACTCGAATGGATATGTCAAGTGCTGTATGGTCAACCAGGTTTTCCCGATTCTGAAGCGAAGTTGATACAGATAGGTTAGGTGGGCTGCGTCTTTATTGTATGAGCATCTGCAGGATGAGTGTTGACGTCCACGCTGCATCGCTTCAGAGCTCGCGATCTGCGCCAACTGAACACCCCCCAAGGAGAAACTATCGCCATTCCCTCTCATTATGCCTCCCTCCCATCTTTCCCCTGTCTCCGCGTTCGTCTCCTTCTCCTCGTCCCCGCCCCACCTTGCCTTCCTCCCTCCCCTTCCTCGCCCCCCCCCCCCCCTTGCCCTCCCCCCATCCCCGCAACGTCCTCCCTGCCTCCCCTCACTCCCTCCACTCCATCCCCGTCCCTGTGCTCCACTCCTCCTGGATGGCGAGCCGCGGAGGCGGCCCCGGCGACACGCTGCGAAGCTGACGCTTTGGGGGCCCGGAAGCCTACAGCGCCGCGGCGCAGCGCGGTGGGCCAGAGCCGGCGGCGCGACGCGCTGCGCCAGAGTCCCCGACCGTCTGTTGCAGCGCAGTTCCTCCTCCTCCTCCTCCTCCTCCTCCTCCTCCTCCTCCTCCCCTCCCCCTCCTCCTCCTCCTCCTCCTCCTCCGCCTCCTCCTCCTCCTCCTCCTCCTCCTCCTCCCCTCCTCTCCTCCTCCTCCTCCTCCTCTCCTCCTCCTCCTCCTCCTCCTCCTCCTCCTCCTCCTCCTCCTCCCCCCCCCCCTTCCCCTCCCCCTCTGATGCGTATTCACTGTTCATGATGTCGCGCAGGACGTACGCTACGCCATGGAGTCCCATGTGACGGGCGCTATGCCCCGTCGCGAGCCCCCGGGGATCTTCGCGGAAGGATCTGGCTTGGGGCCCCCTCTCCGTCTGAGGATGGGGTGGAGGGCTTCGGCCGTGGGGTTTCTGCGCGCCGCCGTCTGCTCTTCGAAACGTCGATCCTGCATCCACCCTAGGTCCACATCGGACCTGCGGGGAGGGGGTCCACGGCCCACACGTGTCCCCCTCCAGGTGTGGGGTCGGGGGAGGTTGGGGTGGTTCGATTCTTGCTGCGGACTCGAGCCGTCCTACGTCGCCAGGCCGCGCACCGTACGTATCGCTTTCGCAGCTTCCACTCCTCTGCAGGCCCCCTCCTCCTCCTCCCCCCTCCTCCTCCTCCTCCTCCTCCTCCTCCTCCTCCTCCTCCTCCTCCTCCTCGTCCTCCTCGTCCTCCTCTCCCCCCTCCTCCTCCTCCTCCCCCTCCTCCTTTTCCTCCTCCCTCCTCTTTTTCTTCCTCCTCCTCCGCCTCCTCCTGCTCGTCCTCCCCCTACCTCCTCCCGCTCCGCACGGCGGGCGCACTCCAGGCAGCCGCACCCGCTTCCCTCCATGCTCCGCCCCCGCAGCAGGCCTCGAGCCCAGGGGACGCCCAGGGGAGGGGGCGCGGCGCCGGGCGCACCGCCTCTCCCGGGGGGCCCCCCCCGTGGTGGGCGCCATGCAGCGGCCCCCCAGCGACGGGAAGCCGGTGTTTGTGTATGGCGCCCGCTCTTCCGCGGGAGGGGTGAGAGGAGCAGGAGGAGGAGGGAGAAGGTGAAGAGGAGGGGGAGGAGGAGGCGGACCGGAGGAGAAGACGAGGGATCCATACACATATATGTATATATATATATATACATACATCGGATGAACATGTTGGTGTTGATGGTGATGATGAGTATGATTATATATGGTGATGATGTTGACGCTGATGATGGGGATGATGAGACTGACGTTGATAGTGACGGTAGTGATAATAAACATGGTGACGATGATGATGAGGAGAAGGGGGATGGCGATGATGATCATGTTGATGTTGATGATGCTAATGTTGATGATGTTTGGTAGTCGAATGATGGTGATGATGATGATGATGTTGATGATGATGATGATGATCATGATGGTGATGATAATGGTGCTGATGCTGCTGATGATGGTGGTGGTGGAGATGGTGGTGTTAAGGATCATCGCGATTCCGACGACGAATCGGACGACGATGATGACGATGTTGATGATGTTGATGTTGATGCTGCTGATTTCGATGACGATGACTGTGACGATGATGACGGTGACGATGATGAGGATGATGACGATGTTGATGACGATGGTGATGATGATGATGATGATGATGATT